CTCTCTCTCTCTCTCCCTCTCTCTCTCTCTCTCTCTCGAGATGCGCGATAGATTTACTTTCCGATTTACCCCCAGAGCAATGTATACTCATACGGCACAAAATGTCTATAAACCGGCAGTTGACTTCAAAATACCATGGCCCGACAGTATGCATATTCCACCACCTCCACAGTACTCATCTCACCTTCCCTATGCCTGTCTGTCTCTTTTACATCTGTGAACCACCCTTCTGCCCCCCCCCCCACTCCTCCTCGACCATTTGTGATCTTGGTGTTCCTCCCCTCTGTGAAGCTCGGAGTCAACTAAAGGGAAAATGTTAATTATCATAAAGCCTGTAATTTGACATAAAAGTTGTGAAATAAAAAGTGCTTATGTGTTGTGAATTGGCTATTATAGATATTTGAAACGGAGCTCCAGTTGGAACACCAAAAGAACCTATTTGAAATGAGTCAAATTAACGGAATGAAGCATATATCTCCTTACATAATACTATTTTGCCAACAATTAATGCCAAACTTATCAATGATTTGTGGTCTCAGTACCTTGTTAAATTTATGTTTGACTCTTTTTTTACTTATTGGATTTAAGTAATATGCCTGTACCTCGGAATTATAATTTCTCGAAGACTTTATACAAGTAAATGAATTTAAGCTAAAATTTTTTGTAAAAGTTGAGCTTAAAAGTGCCAAACCCACATCCATTAGCTGTATAAAGTTAAGGAAAATAATGTTCTTCTATCATTATTAATTTTAATAAGCGTATTTAACTAAAATAAAAAATTATTTTCAATATTACAGCATACTAGTTGAAACGCAGCCTTTCTCAGAATAAAATGCACATATCATTAAAGTTTGACAGTAATTAATCAATATAAATACCTCAACGGTTTTAACCTTTTAACACCCCGAATTATTTTTTGAATTATGCACCCAATCGCAGCCTGATGAGTTTTGGAAGTACCAGACGAAGGCTAAAGACACGTATTGAGCATATTTCAAAAGGCAATAGCGCCTTCTGTTGTGAGTCTTGTACCAAATGGAGCTTATTTTGAAAGAGACTATCATGGTCCTAAAGAAGTTAAAGAGTTAAAGATACGTGTATTTTGTAAATTCAACACTTAAAAAAGTTTAACCATGTATTAAAGTGAACTCACATAAACAAAAATAAGTTTTGATATTAATACATCAAATAATTATTACTAAATAATTCTTAATAAATGTAATGTCGGTTTGTTAGTTATCATTTTACTTTAACAAGACTCGAGTATGCAGAAATACGAAAAACGGTTCATTTCAAAGTAACGTAACAAGAGAAGGAGCAAAAATGGATAGAGTTCCAGAATTGTTCATTTTGCTCGAGTGCGAGATATTGACCTATAATGACATTTTGGACATTCCTGATAGTCTACTCCATCTTGCTGCTTCTGTTTACGTGATCTATCTTCGGGTTTTTGGAGAGTATCTCTAGGCATATCGGTGGAGGTTGAAGAGGCACTATCGGCACTAAGATCTCTATATTGCCAAACGTTGATTTTAGGTTTGGGTTGTATCCTCATAGTTGAAGAGCTGCTAGATGTTACAGACACACGTCTCATTCCACTCCTTCCACTGCTATTACTTCTCTTTATACTACTTGATTTAGTAATATTCACAGGTACTAGACGGTAGACCGTGCTACGTTCGTAAAGATCAGTAGTGGAGGTTGAAGAACTTGAACTGCTGCTGCTGCTACTGCTACTCCTTCGTTTGTATGAAGACTCGGAAGATGAAGAAAGTGATAGTGAAGCGTTTCGAATCCTAGAAGAGTAATGGTAAATACTTTCTTCACCAGAATTCACCATTCCCTTTCCAGGCACGTAGTTAAGGTAGTTCACTTCTGCTCTAGACCTATGCTTTTTGGATTCATTTCTCGCAGGTGGCATCTTCATGGAATCTCGTTGTAGACCACCATCGTGTTTTGGTGAATTTAAAACATCCGTGGTGATGTATGTTGAAACACTTGGCAATGACGAAGGTGATTCGGTTCTAACTGGTGGATTTTTTTGTGACAATGGTCTTTGCTGTTGTGGAGTAGGTGGTGGTAATAATTTTGAAGTAGACGATGGTGAAGATGATGAAGAAGAAGAAGAAGCTGATCTCGATTTTAGCTTCTTTCCTATCACTTGACTTGGGGTGCGCGTTGGCGAACGTCGACTTGACTGGATAGTCTTAATAGTTGATTCAGTGGAAACTGGAGATGACACACGAGTATCTGAAGGTAAGACTCCGTTAAATGGTCTCTGCAAAGAATTGATGTTATCATAGAAATTAGGTTCCTCTTTTATATTTGCAGTTGATGCAGGTCTTTTTGTTGGTGTCGATGTTCGCGTTCCCGACGGAGCAGGTGGAAGTTGTTTATCAGCAACGGTGTCCTTGGGTTCAGCGCTGATCGCTTCCGAGAATCTATTGAAATTATCTTCATCAGCGAATTTCAGAGCATATATGAGTATCAGTTTCTTTTTATCTGTCTTAGCAGCCAACACAATAATCTTGTTCTCCTTATTCTTTTTTGTCTTTGTAATATTGGGACGAATAATCACCTCCTTCTTTTTCTTGAATAACACCTTTTCTGCGGTCATCTTGCACATAATTTCCTCCGGTTTTGCTTTGGCGGCTTTTTGCAACTCCTTGGCCATTTGCGCGTCCAATTTGGCCTCCTTCTTGCATTTCCCGCTGTGAATATGTGAAAGAGTATACTGACTCATGATTGATAGCCTCTCAAACCTCGATGCACTTTCACAACTGTGCACTGACACTCCAATGTGCTCCTCTTATACCAACTTATAGCACTCAAAACGCATAAACCAGTCATTTGTTACTACTATACCGTCACTATCCAATCAAGTCATAATAAGTAGAGTTTTGCTCTTGCGCTCACGAGTCGATGTTTCTATGAGTGCCGGTAGCCCCCTCTCAATTCCTCAGTGGTGCACACGCATCTTTCAGTCTCCTGATCTTTTACGTGGTTTCAAATTACCAGCCAAGAACAGAACTGTGATGAATATTTTTACCGAGGGTGGTAATAATTTTGACTAAATTGTACATGCGCGATAATTGGCATAATATATTTAAGGCTTTGCCATTTAAATGCTGGTATCGTATAGTTATTTTTATTACCTAAATTACTTTCATCTTAAATTCGCAGCTCAAAGACCATTAATTATCTACTAATTGAGGTCATATTTGCCTTACAATAGAGTAGTCCCTTAAAAGTATTACAAGTGAATTATTTCAGTAAGTACTAAGTCCTACTATTTTCAATAAGCAGAAATGTGACTAATATTAGTGGCAGGACAAGGGTAAGCGACTGAACAAGCTGGCAATATTCACATTTTATGGCTCTCTCACCTTGAGTATGGACCAATGCTTCGAAAGGTTTAATGTCCAACCGTTATGCTAAGAGGCATTTAAATAGCTATCACCTTCGGAGCCACGTGATCAGTTTTGGTGGACAATCTCAGGTGTGATATAGATGTAACAGAGCTCAAAAGATATCATTCACTGCGAAATGAAATAGTAATCAGAACTGTGAAATTAATTACTTTCTAATGATTTCTGTGTGAGGAATAATGTGACAACCTCGTGGCAAGCATTGGGGATCTATTATTCCCAATTAAAGGCTATAGCAACTACATTGACAGGATTTTTCATAGGACTCCTATCGACTGGGCATGGGAGGTCAATTTCGATCCATCGTTATGGATGAGATTCAAGAGCGCGGTAATGGCCAGCTTCAGGGATTTCGTTTAATCTCTCAACATTGATATCCCCCTTCAATTGGGGATAAGTATTTGAGTACTTTTTACATTAAAAGGGTACCCACTATTTCAGTCCGGATTATGTCATAATATTTCTAGGAAAAAACTTAGCAATCCTACATTTATTTTCAATATCACAAGCAATATTGCTGGTTATTTTACTCGATGTTGGCAAAGACCTTTTATTTATTCGCAGGTTATGGAGGCATTTTGGTTGATTGAATCAAGTTTACTAGTCATTTTTTAGTTCGTTCAACTGTTCATTTATCAATATGTCTGCATTAAAGCTCTTCCGTGTGGTGGCCTGTTCAAGAAATCTGTTGCTGCAATACATCCACCCACTAGATATCAATAAACGCCAATTGGCCCAAGCACAGACAAATAAAGACAATATATGTTGAAGGTCAAAACACTGTCAGACTGATGACAGATTAGAGCCTTAATAACCTTCAGACTGCCAGGAGCGATGTGCGATATCGTGATTAGTCTTTTGGGCAAATTTGAGATAACCAGTGGGGATTTATCACCACAGACTGTGTAAAATCACTTTTCGTGTCATCCTCCTAGCACTCCGTTCAAAGTCTCCTCCAGTAACCCTATTTCATTCCATTTCTTTGATTTAGTATAAATTCAATATATACTTCCAATGGGAGATCCAACGAAAATTGTAGTGGTTTAAACCATATACTTGCATGACTTCTAGCTAATATGTTATGATAAATTTTTTTGCACACAATTTTCGGGTCACTAAATAATAGACTTATAGTAGAGCAAATTGAATAGTATCTATTATCTCAAGTAATTTTGTCAGCCATCTATTTAGTGAAATTAACAGCTAGATGCTGCTTAGTAATAATCAAGGAGGCGCAAACCCACGCGGAATGATGGAACAGTTTAGTGTGTAATCGGTTTCAATTAAAGCAATATAAATTGATTTATTATGCACCATAAATAAAGGATGAGATAGGTTGGTAACTGTGAAATCTTTATTTTCGTTAAATCAGTATTTGTGATTTTTTTGTTTATTTAAAGCCCCTATGCATGCACACGCTTGTTCCTCTTAAGGCATGTGCTCTGCACCTGATATTGATCGATTGACTATGACAAGCACTGCTTCTGTTAGGCCTGAGGCTTATAACTTGGCGATAATCCTATGTGTAGTCTGTTATGTTGCCGCATTTTCGAGTGGTGCAAATATATTGGATTTGTTAGAATGCACTATCTTTAAACAGCATCTGCTGACTTTACTCAAGTACCTTACACGACTCAAATTACTAGCCATTAGTCATCATTTTATCATTGTCTTTTATGGAAGAGGAGATGTATAAATCTCAAGACATGCTCTATTGTGTTTCAGACATATATTTAATTTTTTATAGAGGTTTTGTAAAACATTTATAGCAGAGTACCACAGAATTCTATTAGACTGGAATTCAAAAAAATGAGCATGAATAAACACCTGAAATGGGGTGGAGGCAAATTCAATGTGAGAAAAAATGAACCAAAGAAATTTCGTTGGAAATGGTGCTAGAGTATCATAAGATTTTGTTTCAATTGGTTTTGGACAACACCTGAACAATAGTTATTCAATGATTTGGTCATCACTTCACCTTCTGTAATTCTAATCTGGTGATTCTTTCACTGAATTGGGTAACAAATGCTTCTCAACGATGCTGCCTCCATGCAAGTTAGTCAATCAGTAAAAATGGTCGATGTTGTCACTAAAATGCTTTTCACTCTTTTAGGAATTATTTTCTCGGTTTGATAAGTCTTAAGCTAGTAGATTATTGTACGTTTTATTACACCTGAAAACTGTACATATTTTGACAACTGTTATTGCCAAATTGATGTTTTTTACTTGAAATCATTTGAAAAACGAATGACAAGATAGTCCAATAGGATGGAAGAATAGGAAGGAACAATAATTAATATCAGTTTACATAATTTGAATTCTGCTTTTTATACCGCTTGGGGAGCATAATTCAGAACGTCACTCCTGGTTTCCATCTCTAATTTCCCTATTAATGTTTTAGCAGCCGCATTTCTCGCCTATTGAAGCATTTCAGCGCATAACAAAAATGACATAAATTATTCCACAGCTGAGTTGTTATCACATACTTAAACATTTCCCACTTATTTGCAAAATAGATACTAGCCTATTCTTGTGCAGACTGTGAGTAAAGATTTCTTTTTACTTGTCTGGCATTTAAGAAGATTTTGCCAAGAGGTGTGTTTTCAGGACCATTTAGAAGCGGATTTATAAATATGCTTTCCTAATGCATTGCCAATTCACGAATTACATTTGTACTGTGTATACGTGGGAGGAACTAGTTGTAACGACAAAACTTACCCCCACTTGCTCAAGAGGTTGATTCAATAATTTTTTTTCTCACTATTTCACTCGCATTTACTTCTTTGATGCAATTATTTTTAGTAAAATAAAAGTATAAAAATCTTGATTATAGTACAATCAAAATTGACCATTTTGCATGTTATTTAAACAATAATTCACGGCTTTAGATAAGTATATACTAAATATCAAATCTATCATTTTCTATAAGTCCTGTAAGGGCAACCAAGCAGTAGTGCGTTCCATGGAGGTTACCTTCACTAGTGTGGGGTGTACGATAGATTTACCTCCACGTGGTGCATCCTGGGCAACGTATACTCATGCCGCAAAAAGTCCATTAACTCTCAGTTGACTTCTCACTTCAATCTACCATGACCTCACTGTATGTCATATTTCACCACTTCCACAGTACTCACCTCGCCTTTATCTCTACCTTTGTGCCTGTCTGTCTCTTTTACATCTGTGAATCTCTCTTCTGCCCCCCCCCCTCTCCAAATTTTGAGACTTTGTCTGTTCCTCCCCTCAGTGAAGCCCGAAATCAGCTAAAGGGCTGATGATAGTCATCAAAAGCATTCTCCAATGCCCTCCTTGAGGGTGGTCTTTTCAATCCCTTAATGTATTAGCGTAAGAACTGAAGATTACTTGGCATTTAAATATTAAATATGCTTTTTAACTGAAATATCCAATGAGTAGCTAAAATTTCTTGTGAAGTTTCATTAAATCGTTTGGTTTAAACACGTGCTTAGTGTGTACAAACACTTAACCACGAAAGGGAATATTTAGATTGATTTGAATTTTCATACACAATCATTTTACCGCCAGAGCCATTGGGAGAAAATGAACTGAAGTGTGAAGACCCAATCATCGTGATTATAAAAATTGTCAATGCGTGCTGGAGTTCGTCATCAAGCACCAACGGCAATCAAGGAACCGATCATGAATTATATCTCTTGGAATTTTAACTAGCAGCCAATTCGAAAATCGATTTAATGAAAACTGATCCTCCATTCTATAATTTCTTGCTCTTACGGTCAACGACTCTCAGTTATTTCCCGTCACTAAATAATAATAAGTATTATGAATATGAACTCACAAAGAGATCATAAGAATAAATCTCGACTTTCGAATATTTTACTCAGGAATATGGCGCAAAAAACTACTGCACCCACTTTGGTAATAGTTTGATAATCTGATGAATCTAGGGTTTGATGTGGATAAAACCTACTGGAATACCCTGCCTACCAATGAAGTCGTCTTCCACTCACATCTTATTGTTTGTATTTTCCTTTGGCTAGAAGTTGTAGAAATTTTATTTCGCCACGAAGAGCGGTACCCTGATTGATAAGCATATGCAGGTTCCATACCACATTCTTGACATTGGCAAAGAATAAAATATGTTGTCGGATTTAGCTATTGATCTTTGCCAACGCAATTCGCCATGTGATTTCCAAGAGAAAGATCTTACAAATGTATAAGCTGTTATACACCAAGTTCACACCTATATCACCGCCTCTGGAAGCTGTGACTACTGGCGCATTGCCAAAGCATTCGATAAATATTCCAAAATTTGGTGGATGACAACGTGCAGAGAAAATTC